TAAATAGTTATCGTGTTTAATTATGAGTACCATCTTGTAATTAGGTAACTTAATTCCCTAATCCCCTAGGTTAAATATCCTGCAGCTAGCCTAGACGTGTAACAAGAACTACTGGCCTTGATTTCTATTCGGCCGCCTACTAGAGAAACCCTTCTCTGGAGCTTGCTCCTGTGGATTAGTCTCGTTCATCTTGAACGGGGATACCACGTAAATTCTCGTGTTCTTTCTTTTCCGCGTTATCCGATTTTACATGGTATCAGAGCTGTGATCCTCGTCAACGACTTTGATTGCGGCAATCATGGGCGAGAAGGACGATAGCTCGAGCGACAGCAAAGCTGCCATCACTGGCCTCGACTCAATTCCTCTCGGCTCTCCTCTGTTCCTCCATCCGTCTGAAAATCCAGGTCAGCTGTTCGGTGGTGATGTACTGCCCGACCTGAACTACGGCGAATGTGCCAGCGATATGACCGAAACTCTTATCGCGAAAAACAAACTGGCGTTCGTCAATGGCACCCTGCCAAGACCGCCTTTAACCGATCTCGTTCGACTTGATGCTTGGGACCGCTGTGACGCAATGGTCAAGGGTTGGCTCAAGACGGCGATGACGAAAGAACTTCGCAACAGCGTGCGTGGTGTGCGCACGGCACGCGAAATTTGGCTTGATCTCCGACAAAGGTTTGGCGCGGGATCCGCCGGCCGCGCCTATGAACTACGACGGCTGATAGGTGCTCTCCGTCAAGACAAGTCGTCGGTTTCTGCGTTCTACACTCAACTGAGAACCTATTGGGATGAACTGCATACAGTCAGCGTGAACCCCCATTGCAGTTGCGGAGGGTGCCCCTGCGACGTGGCTCGCCAGGCGCGCGAGAAGGCTTAGTCCGAGCGCTTGTTCGACTTTCTTCTTGGGCTCGATGACTCCTTCGCTGTAGTTCGTTCCCAAGTTTTGGCCACCAAGCCGCTGCCGTCACTTGCTGAAGCTTACCAATTGGTCGCTGGGGATGAACAGCAGCAACAACTCACGGCTGGACGCAGACCTACAGTGGAATCAGCTGCGTTCCAAGTTCGTGATGAGAAGCAGCCCGCCAACGCCGAGCCAATTCGGTGCAGCCATTGCCGTAAACTCGGTCACACCAAAGACATGTGTTACCGCTTACATGGTTTTCCTTCCGACTCAAAGAAAGGGAAGCAAGGGGAACGTCCGGGTAGCGCGCGCAGTCAGGTTGGGGAGAACGCTCCGCGGGCAGCTCACGTTGACACGGACAGCAGTCCCATCCCGGGCCTCACTGCCGCATAGTTCGCAAATTTGAAGGACTTTTTCGGGGCCCCTAGCTCTGGACCTTCCGACCCCACTGCTCACATGGCCGGTAATTGCTCTGACCTTTATGAATGGCTCATTGATTCTGGGTGCAATGAGCATATTGTTAGAGACGCTAGCTGGCTTGATCGTGTGAATCGTAGTGGCACGTATTCCCATGTTCGTATTCCCAATGGACGTTGTATACCCGTCGAAGGAGTGGGTTCTGTGCGCTTACATGATCGCCTAACCCTCCACCGGGTTCTCCATGTCCCAGAATTTAAGTGCAACCTTCTGTCCGTTAGTCGTCTTACACAGGACCATGATGTTGGTTTGTTGTTCTTGGCTGGTGTTTGTATCATTCATGACTTACGTTCCGGGACAGTGATTGGACTGGGGAGACTGCGTGATGGCTTATATTACTTGGATCGTTCTAGCATGGGTGCTGCCCCGGCCGGTTGTGATCGTGGAGCTTTTGAAGCTATTGGGCGGGACGATACCGCGCTGTGGCATCATCGGCTTGGGCATCCATCTTTTGAGAAGCTTGCTTTGCTCCGTGATGCACTTAGTTCCAAGAGCATTTCTTTTTCAAAAACACATTGTGACCCGTGTTTAAGAGCCAAGCACACTCGGTCTGTTTTTTCCACTAGTTCCATTCAAACACATGGTTGTTTTGACTTGATCCACATTGATATCTGGGGTGGTTATAAGACTCCTTCTTTGGATGGTTCACATTTCTTCTTGACGGTGGTTGATGATTTTAGCCTAGCTACTTGGGTGTATTGGTTGAAATACAAGTCAGACGTCAAAAAGTATATTCTTGCCTTTTGTCAGATGGTGGTTACTCAGTTCGAACGACAGGTTCGCAGAATACTGGCTGATAATGGGCTGGAGTTTCAGACCAAGACCCTTCGTGCTTTCTATGCTGATCGGGGGATTCTTCTTCAGACTTCGTGCGTTCATACGCCTCAGCAGAATGGGGTTGTGGAACGGAAACACCGGCACCTCCTTGATACCGCGGGAGCTCTTCGTTTTCAGGCTGAACTCCCTGTTCGGTTTTGGGGTGAATGTGTTTTGACTGCGACTTACTTGATTAATCGGTTTCCTTCCTCTGTTCTTGGCAACCGGACACCATATGAGGTCCTGCTTGGTCGCGTTCCTTCTTACATGCATCTTCGTGCTTTTGGGTGCTTGGTCTACGCCAAAGATACGAGTGCTGGGTTGGATAAGTTCGCTGAACGGGGACGGCGGTGCATTTTTGTTGGTTATCCTCTTTCCCAGAAAGGCTACCGTGTTTATGATATACGCCTCCGTCACATTTACACTACACGCGATGCTCATTTCGTGGAGACTGATTTCCCTTTCCTTTCCTCAGATTTGCGGCCCCAGGTCCCTCCTTCACCGCCTGCTCACTTTGAGGGGGAGCTCGACCCCCTGGTCGAGGAACGCGCCACTGCTGCCGATGATCTTGCTTCCAGCTTTGACGTGGGTGATTCACCGACCCCTCCTCTGCATGGCGCGTCACCGGGCTCCTCGCCTTTGCATGGTGGGTCCCCAGGCCTCACGCCCTCGCCGCCTTCTACATCGGGCTCGTCCCCTTCGCCGGCTGCTGATGTCGAGGATGTTTCTCCTCAAATCCCAAGTCCAGCGGATCCCAGTGGTTCCTTGCCCCCGGATCCCCCTTTGCGTCGCGGCGATCGGGATCGACGTCCTCCCTCCAAACTCGCCATCTACGACGTCGAGCTACCGGGAGCTTCATCTTCCCATTCGGTCACTCACCCCATCTCTAACCATGTTAGCTATCATCGGTTTTCCTACTCACACCGTGCGTTTTTGGCCGCTATTTCACAGGTCGTCGAACCGAAGCATTTTCGCACGGCAGTGCAGCACGCTTGCTGGCGTGAAGCAATGATGAAAGAAATAATGGCTTTAGAAGCTAACGGGACATAAACTTTGGAGTTTTTGCCCCCGGGGAAGCGCGCCATCGATTCGAAGTGGGTCTACAAGATCAAGTATCACCCTGATGGCTCTGTTGAACGGTATAAGGCGCGATTGGTAGCTAAAGGCTTCACCCAGGTCGAAGGCGTCGACTTCCATGATACCTTTGCTCCTGTGGCCAAGCTGGTCACTGTTCGAGTTCTCATTGCCGTCGCTATCAGCAAAGGGTGGCCTCTTCATCAGTTGGACGTCAACAACGCCTTCCTCCACGGCGATCTTCAGGAGGAAGTTTATATGAAGGTTCCTCTTGGCTTTGCAGCGGAAGGGGATACCCGGGTCTGCCGTCTACGGAAGTCTCTTTACGGTCTTTGCCAGGCCTCATGGAACTGGCACAACAAGTTTACCACGGCGCTTAATGAGCTGGGTTTCGTCGCCTCTAAAGCCGATCCCTCTCTCCTCATTCACAACCGTGGTACCTCGTTTGTTGCCGCCTTGATCTACGTTGATGACGTGGTCCTCACTGGTAATGACGTTGAGCTCATTTCTCAAGTCAAAGCCTTTCTTCACGACCGGTTCAGCATCAAAGACCTAGGGCCCTTGAAATACTTTCTCGGGATAGAGGTCGCACGGTCACCTGCTGGCGTGGTTCTTAGCCAACAAAAATATGCTTTGGACATCCTCAGTGACGCGGGGGCTACTGCAGCTCGTCCCAGTCATTTTCCGATGGAGCAAAATCACACTCTCACCCGGCCTGCTACGAGTACTGATGCGGCGGTTGATGTTCATGCTTATCGTCGGTTGGTCGGTCGCCTATTGTATCTCACTGTGACTCGCCCCGACATCACCTATGCCGTCAACATTCTCAGCCAGTTTGTTCATGTTCCCAGTCCTGAGCATGTCGTGGCCGCCCATCGTGTTCTCCGATACCTCAAGAACTCTCCTGGTCAGGGCCTCTTTTTCCCTTCTGGTGATTCTTTGACTCTTTCTGCTTACTGTGATGCAGATTGGGGTGGCTGTCAGACGACCCGCCGTTCTACTACCGGTTACTATGTTCAGTTAGGTTCTGCCGAGGCCGAATACAGGGACATGGCTAGTGCCGTCAGTGAAGTTGTGTGGCTACGTTTCTTACTCACGGAACTTGGTGTTCCACAGCCGGCGGCTACTCCTTTGCACTGCGACAATCAGGCCGCTCTTCATATCGCAGCTAATCCTGTCTTCCATGAGCGGACTAAGCACGTGGAGATGGACTGTCATTTTGTTCGTGAGCGTGTTGTTACAGGCGAAGTTGCTCCCTTGAAGATCGGTTCTACCTCACAGCTGGCGGATATTTTTACCAAAGCTCTGGGTGCTGAGCAGTTTCATTTACTTTTGTCCAAGCTGGGCATTTGTGACCTTCATGCCTCAGCTTGAGGGGGAGTGTTGGGATGTAAATAGTTACCGTGTTTAATTATGAGTACCATCTTGTAATTAGGTAACTTAATTCCCTAATCCCCTAGGTTAAATATCCTGCAGCTAGCCTAGACGTGTAACAAGAACTACTGGCCTTGATTTCTATTCGGCCGCCTACTAGTGAAACCCTTCTCTGGAGTTTGCTCCCGTGGATTAGTCTCGTTCATCTTGAACAGGGATACCACGTAAATTCTCGTGTTCTTTCTTTTCCGCGTTATCCGATTTTACAAAAACAAAACAGAAATCCACAGGCTCATTGGAGTAAATAAACTGCCCAACAATATCACATTAAGGACTGAACTGAACTTACCATAACAGGAATCATCTTGGCACACTTCGCAAGTGTCTGGACTGGAAAACTAACATACTTGTGGGCCTGTAGCAGGACAATAGTCAGAAGAAAACAAAACTAATTGCAGCAAGAACCTCTCAAATCTTTGAATGATACTCAAGCTTGGAAATTTAACAATTTTTTGCCTGCATACAGTCTGACACAAAATTTACAGATCACCAACAATATTAAAAATGTGTTTAATTTGGAGACCAGGAAACATTCCTACCTCATACTGACATGTTGTAGTCAATATGTTGGAAATCGATATGAGGTAGTACTTGTAAACTGGAGCAAAAGGAAGAAACCTGAAAACTAATACAATCCTATCTAAACCATCATCTCATTATCAACAATTCAAGTCCGCCAAACAATTAAATCCACTGAGCAGAAAGGCAATCAACTAATGCGAAGTCCTTACCACGAGAGAAATAGCAGATACAGCAGATGTCGTGACCCGATTGCAGAATACAAGGAAAAAGAGAGTACTTAAAATACTCTTTATTAACCCCATATTGCACTCTCATGATCTTTTCCTGCACAACAATAAGATTGCAGTCAATACAAATGCCTCTGTGTCACTGCAGGAGGTGGCCAAAACAAGGCACATTGCCTAGCTATACTGAATGGGAGAATAAACATCGCAACATCAATTAGGCATTGCCTCGACCAGAGTTCTAGCTTCCTCAATGGAATGTCTCCTCCCAATCTGAGAAACTGACCTGATAATCTCTATGATTCTATGCCCTAATCTATACCAACTAGTCCTACAAAGCTAAGCGAATGTTCGTCGGGCAGTGCACACTAACTCACGGAAGAAGGGAGAAGAAGATCACCTGAAGAACACCGTAGATCACGAGAGTCACTAGTTAAAACAGCATAATGGAGTTGGCAGATCGGTAGATCAATGGAAGAATCACCAGAAAGTCAACAAATAACCTGACCACAACAAATGAAATCCAAAACCTTGCACCCAGACTGACCTCACCACAACAAATGACCTTCCTTAAAATGAGAACTTACTGAGACTAGCTGCAAAGATTCTTCCAAGATCACTGATTTTTATTTATTTTTAGTCTTTCTTCCTTATGAAGAGTGAGGGTCAGCAGAAGAAAGCTGAAGTGTGGAAATAAAGTGATCTGTGCAAAACTCACAGTTTTGACCTATTAGAGATGGAATGATGAGGAGCTTTGACACGAAGATTTTCTTGCGAGTCGGCTACTGGTCTGCTCCTAAGTTATAATCCTTTTCAAGGGAAGTGGGATGGGGAATACTTAACGAACATAAGAAACATTGTTTCAAACAAGCTGGCAGCGTAGAAAGCATGACCAATCCAGGAATGAGTACAAGAAGTTTCATTAAAACCCAGGAGACAATTAGATCAAGGCCTTGTTTCAAACAAGAGGTACTAGCAAAATTTCATCTCTATTTATGTTCACGGTTCATCTTTCACATTCCAAATATGGAGATGGCATCAATTGATTTATTCATTAAGCTTCACATCCAGATCTCTATATAAACAGCAATAAAAAATGTGGTATGTGCAAAGAACAAGGTGAAGTTGAATCTAGTTCGACATTGGCAAGATCATAAAATGACCAAATACTGAATGTCACAGACTTCAGACGGGGTTACCTTCATCTCTCAGAAATGGAACTTCCACTCAAGGCTTCTCGTGTCTAACTCGTCAAGTACGATTTTCACACCAGCATACTGCAGAAGTTCTTTCACAGAGGAGGCAGCATTCAGAACCTCGCATTCACACATAAGCCTGTCACAGACAAATGGGATTGAGAAAAACAAGTTCATATGTATCCACATAGTAAATGGAACATTTATCTTTCTACTAGGTATCCACTCCTTGGGTGATAATATGTCAGGCATGAGAATGTTACATATCCAAGAACTTTGAAAAGCGTAAATATGAATGTATCCTCCTATTGCAAACAGAGTGTCTTGGTAGAGTGCAACAAAATACATTAACTGGAATGTAGGAGGAAGAATTCGAACAACATCATTTTTATGAGTCATAATACCACCAACAAATGTATTTGTTTCTCTTGATGTTTGCCATATATGTTGCCGCCAGACATTCTCATCAGTAATCTGATCTGAACAAGATAAAATAATGACATCAGTGAACTATTTGGAATGCTAACCTTGTTTTCTCTCTCTCAAGTGCAGTATTGAGAAAAATCCTTTAACCAACTAGATATGAAAGCCGGAGTCTCAAATGAGTATAATCCAATAGAAAACGAAGGAGCTAACAACTAAAACCCTTGGAAGGATTCAGAAATCAATTGTTCCTTGGTGTCTGGACAGGAACCATGAGCCCAACAAGGTTATAGAGATCAGAATGATGGAGCCTCTCACATGAAATTCGAGACATGGTGCTTGATGGTCAATTGCTGGATTTGGCTGATAACCAGTAAAATGCAAAATGCGATTGAGCTTCCTTTGTCCAAATAACGACGTGGATGGCAACCACAGGTTGAACTGAGAGCTAGTAATTCTGATGCTCCAATTAGCAGTAAGACGATTATAATGTCAGTTAAAGTTTGAACCTCTTTCTTACAAATCCGTAACTTAAACTTATTTAGGGCTCGCCAATTATCAAGAGTTCGGAAAAAAGTCAATACTATATTTGAACCCAGAACCTAGGGTGTCGTAGATGTTTTATCCGTACATCATCACTATTGAATTTCTCCATCATCATTCATTCCTCATCCAGCAAGCAATCAACCACAGCAAGATCAACATGGTCTGTTTGAGTGGACAACCCAAGAGAACCAAAAACACCCATTATCTGTGGATGGTTCTGCACTACCAAACAATTAGTGTTCATCCTTAGGCATAGCAATTTTCGGGCTCGAGACTTTTCACTTTAAGTTAAACCATTACTAACTAGGTCAGCCATTCCACGAAATCTAGTTTCTTGGTCTAATCAAGCACCAAGTCGAGTGCATTTTCAATAACTAGACAATTTGCATGCATATGGGTATAAAATATCCACATATGAAAAAACTATAATCGGTCATATTTCAAGAACAAGCTGAACTTACCCATACCTTGTTCAGCTCATATTTCACAGAGTCAACAACTTCCACCAAGAACTGTACTTGAGAGGCTCCCCCAAGTCCCGAGGATCCGAATCAGAACGCAACCCCAGATTTCGAGCTCAACCTCAAACAGATGTGACTGGTGGAGGAAGTGCCTACATAACTCAGCTGCCTCTACAGACTACAATGTCAGAGATTTCAGATTGGGTAGAAGAGCATGTTTGAAATCTTTTTAGTGTAGAGGGCCATAAAATACATATAACCAAAAGTTAATTGATAACTTAATGTTGAACATAGAGATGGATTAGAATCAATGGTACAGTGAAGAGAGCAGATACATTATACAGCAGGGAAAACAGAAATTGCATTTGGAAGGAACTTTCTTACGAGCTAATAAATAGAACGCGAAACCCAAACAGGTGGGGGCCAAACTAGGAAAGGCCTATTTGAGTTGGTACAATAGAATGACTCAATGGTGTCATCGCTCAGATGGTATATGCCCATATCATGACCACCATGCCTGTGCCTGAAGTGCGAGTTGAAATTGTCATCGGTGAAATAAATGCAGTTCGATTTCAGTCCCAAATTATCTTTGGTAGAGAGGCAAGCAGGGGAATTGGTACCTAAGAACAAAGCATAGTCACCAATGGTTTGAACCTGATCCCATTCATTTGTATCCTTGTTGAGTTTGTAAACTCTAAAATCAAATGTCCAATACATCCAAGGCGCCTGCAACAACTCGTCGGAATCCCTGATGTACAACATACCTGCTGCATCCTCTTCATGACCATCAACTTCTTCTTCTTCTTCGAGAGGGCCTAGGCCATCCTCTTCCACACCTGCTATGTCCTCGGCGAGGCCATTATTATCAACTTCTTCTTCCTCTTCTTCTTGTCCTTGTCCTTCTTCTTCTTCTTCTACATGATGCACGTGAGGAATTGGGAATCCATTGTAAATACCTGCTGCATTCACTTCACTGTCATCATCATCCACTCCCAAGACGATATCTTCTTCTTCTGCCAGTCTCGACACAAACATCAGCTCGTCATCTGGACCCATAAGTAGGTAACTGTTCAGACAGACAATATCAGCTTCGGTAACCAAAAAGGATAGCTTGGGGATTGTAAGATCACAAATGAGAACCCTCCCCCTGTTATCATTGGCATAAAAATTACCCCCGCAGAATACTACGTTCGCAAAGCCAAACGGTTCGCCATTGGGTTGGGGAATCAATGTCCATTTGTCATCTCCCGGCTTGCAAAACGCTAATCGCGTCAGTTGGTCGCGAATACAGAGGGCCATCACAACACAGTCCTCTGAAGTGGGCTCTGCTGACATAGCAATCCTCTGCACATAGATAGACTCCAAATATCGTTTCCCTGCCACTACTTTGGAGCCGTCGGAACTCTGAAGCAGGTATTCTTCCCCCACTCGTTCTAGGCAATAGTCCAACACCTCCGGAAATGTTGTGATCGGTGGGAGCGAAATCTGATCCCTTGAGAGAGGGTTGAACAACACAGGGGTTCTCTGCAACATAAACAGCCATCCGAATGCAGATCCCCGGCAAGTAGCTTCCTCTAAGCCTTCCCCAAAACTGATATGGTGACGCTGGTTGTGCGCCACATCCCGAAGAAGGCGGCATTCCTGGCTCACGCAACCACCACCAGCATCCTCGCCCTTATTACTATTGATGCTGCAGTAGGGCAATATCAGAGTGGGCGATGATTGACGGAACAGTAAAGGCAACTGCTGGGCGAGGTCTCTCCTCCATGTCCTGCAAACAGCCCGAATACGGATTTTCTCCTTCAATAGGATTACCCGTTGGCCGATCTCTACCAATAGCTCCGATGGCAACTCGCTCCAATCGTGTCCTGCTTTTTCTTTGTCTTCTTCCCTCGTCATCGTCATTGTTGAAGAGACCACACAGAGATGAGATCTGGTTGAATTGAGAAAGGGATTCAAGTTCGGTCACTTTATAAGGGTTATCCCCTCTGAATCCAGAACCAAAACAGAATAGGAGAACAGAGAAAGGGACAGCCGACTCCGACACGAACTATGATAGGATAAAGGAGTTGACTACCTTTTGAAACAAAAGGTAAGCGGAACATCACGCCGGTAGAAAACAGTTGTAAACTAGTTACCTGCTCCACTCCTTCGCCGTCCGTCTGAGCGACGGACCACAGCGTATCAATCTTTCTCTCTTATTATCTCAACGTCCTCTGGTTGCCCAAAAGTGAAGTCTTTAGACCGATCAGTTTATGGTTTTTCTGTGCGATCCCAAGCTATCTCATTTCGATACTGAGAGCTTGAGAAGCCTCTTCAATCTCTCTTCAATTGGCTCAGTTTGGCCCTTCAGTTTTCGCCATGGTAAAGGAACCGTACAGGAAGTCATACCGGATTCATCAGTGGTAGAGTATTTTGTGGTACTACCATGGTTCAATGTACCGACAAATACCGTTTTTGTAATTAAAAAATATTTTTTTATTAAAAAACCGTACCGGCAGATTCAGAATACCGTTTCGGAATAATACCGAAATAAAACCGGTATTATAATTAAAAATTAGTCAAAACAGAAGTACACAGAGACTGAGATTCAGTCCGTGTACAACTATGAGACCACTGAACTCGTTCACAAGAACAGGAATGGTTCCTAGCAGTGGGTCGTCAAGCCCAAATCTGTTCAATACGAATTCAAGACCGATACAAAAAGAATGCATATATCCATTAATCCATATTATTATCACACTCATTGGCACCAGCAAACCACAAAAGAATGAAGGTAATGGTGGTCGAGCAATCAATCAACTAATAAAGACAAGTATATCCATCAGCCTTAAGTTGTATACAAAGGTGAAAGACATACAACATAGATCCGGAACAGTCGATGTCCAAAGATGGATATTCCTCGAAGGTACTGAAATAGAAGAAGGAAAACAGAGACACTAAATAAGTGTTTTAACAAATTACTCAGAATGCTAAAGAGAAAGAAACGGCTACTGGAGGAGCAGCGGCAGAGTAGAGGCGGAGCAATCGCGGAGTAGCCGCTGTCCTGATCGCCGGTCGAGAAGAGGAGGATCGCCGCGGTCCTGGTCACCGGTCGAGAAGAGGAGGATCGCCACCGTTCCTGGTCGCTAGCAGCAAGAAACGAAAAACCAAGACTGCGCTCCACTTAGTCGCTGATGATGCAGGGTTTTGAGGCTTCGGTCGGTTTTTTTTTTTTTTTTCCTAATGCCAAAACGACGTCGTGTCCTTCTCATCAGCTTACTCCCGGTTAGACCAAAACCGGGCGGTTTTTTGAATTGTACCGGTTTAACCGGGAAAACCGACCGGAAGGATTCTTTACCTACAAACCAGCTACCGTATCGGCCAGGCGCCGGTCTCCAGTTTTACCGTTTCAACCGGCCGGTACGATCCGGTTTCCTTTACCATGGTTTTCGCAGAAACAGTTTCTTGCTTACTTTTCAAAAAAAAACAGTTGATTGTTTAGCTAAAAAAACTATTATATTTGCTTTTTAATATGAGAGACAGAGGTTGTGTAGAATGACTACAAAGAACTTATAATTCTAAACAATAAAATATAGTCAAAATGAATCTTGTTAGATTTTTTTTATATTAAATGATATGATTTTATTATTTATTTTATTTTTAAAATTATATAAATGAAATAAAATTATATTTTCTAAAATAAAATTAAAATATGGAAAGGATAATCTTGTATTTTCAAAACAGTTTTTCGTAGAAGCTCCGAATCGGAGCTTCTGCTTTCATGTTGTACAAAAGCGCTTTTAGGTTTTTCAAAAGCTGAGCTTTTAGAGGTGTTTGGCCCTGCTTCAGCTTTTGAGACTGAAAAGCACTTTCAAAAGTCCGGCCAAACATAGGCAATCTCTACTCCCTAAGGTACGGCGGGGTAGTTTAGGATTATGTCTGAGATCCTCTCTCTCCCTCTCTCTCCCAAGCGAGCAGGACGCATGTTAATAACCAAAATGTCACTCATTTCAGTTATATGTGCTCTATTAGTCACCGAAGTTGGATAGACGATAACCAAAGCATTGAAGTCAGAGAACCCATCATCGAAATTGTGGGTATCGAACAAAATTCCAATCCATTTTGTGAGAAAAATTCAACCGATGTCATCTTTGGGTGGATTTCGCAGATCCGACAAAAATGATAATGGATTTGGTCCAATTTTGGTATTTTAAGTATTCACATTGAACTCACTCAAATATTTGTTATAATTATGTTTTGCACTCACTCACTTAAACACCTTGTTCATACATATTTATTGAATATTATAATTACCTCTTATTGCTCAAATCTTACTCAATTTTACTAAGTACTACAAAATATGAAAATAATGCGATAAATATACTATAATTAACATTCACATTCTAAGAAAAAAATTAGATTATATTAAGAACTTTATATATGATTGTTCGGGGATGGTGTGAGTGGATTTTCTCTAAACCACATATGGGGTGGTTTTGGTATGTCATATTACGTCTCCGCATAGTTTTGTTATGAGGATGGTCATGATTTTAAAATTGTGTTTCGAAATGATATATAGGAAAATCGGTCACATCTGAACTCATTTCAGTTGTATGTGCTCTATTAGTCACCGAAGTTGGATAGACAATAACCAAAGCATTGAAGTCAGAGATGGTAAAATAACCCATCATCGACATTGTGGGTATCATCTGTCAACAAAAAAAAAGATATTGTGGGTATCGAACTAAATTCGAATCAATTATGTAGGAAAATTTTGAACGATATTATCTTTGAGTGAGTTTTGCAGAGAGGACACGTCGCGGGGGTACGTGGCTAAAGGTTCTCGGTGACCTACTGGCTAGCTGACCCGAGGTAATTGACCCCGGTGGCCAGAGTGACCCCAAGGTGACCCAGGGTGATTGGGCCTAGGGTGGGCTAAGTGACCCAAGGTAATTGACCCTGGGGTAGCCGGAGTGACCCATGGTGGCCGAGTGACCTAGGGTGATTGACCCCAGGTGACCAGAGTGACCCAATGGTACGCTCTAACATGAAGACCGAACAAATTCGTAACAAGTTGATGGATGGTGGCGTGGTGTTTATGCCTAATGTTAGTGCATGCCAGAAGGTTGGTCATTGTCCCTATCTCATTAAGTTTCCAAAGTGCATTTGTTTGTATTCGCTTTTTATAACATATAGTGAGTCTTTCGGTGCTAGATATTTATGCCAGTTCTAGACGATGAAGCACGTCATTGATTTCTCTATCTCGTCAATGTCCAGCAAAAAATCGCATTTTTGCTTGATAGTATACCTTCAACTAGTGAGGCGAATCGTCAACGTAAATCAAATCTCTGCAAGAAATTGGTAAGTGTTTCATATAATTTTCTGACTACTAAGTGTCACGTATTATGCTAGAAACATATAATATTCGTTATTTGTGTGTAGTTGTCCAAATTTCACGATATTTTCAAACTGGAGCGCATGAGCAATGTATTAGTACCAAATTTTGGAGATTTCAATTTCGAAGAGCTACGCGTTCAAGGGCAAAAGAATAGTATCGAGTGTGGTGTGCACGTCATGCAGTGGATGCGTTATGGATCCAAGGATCTGGATAGAGTGGTTAGTATATCGTCAAACCAAAAAACTTGTTTAATTGGTATTATTTTAGTTCTAACGAAGTCTTATATTTCATAATGCAGATAAGAGAAGAACACAAATTACTGGCTCGAAAGGAGATTCAATGGTATCTGCCTACACATTTTGAAAGCCGTGCACGGAAAAATCTTTTCAAGCATGTAGTAGATGAATGCATGGAACGATGCAAAGAGAGAAAGAGTTCAAACAAAAAATCAAAGAAATGAAGTCATTAAGTTAAAATGTTGCATTATTTAGACAATACGTTGAATCTATAATTGCGAGGTTGTTTCATTTTGGATATTGAATGTTTTTCGTTTATTAGACTTGTTATGCAATTATGGATGTCAAGGAATTTACGATTTGAATCGTCTACTACAAGAGGTCGACCACATAATCAAAGCGGTCGACCCCGTAGGCAGAGCAAAGGTCGACCTCATATGATTACGATCGACCTATGATACCTTAGCTCCTAAACAATATCGAATAAAGATTCAGTCTTGTCACTTTTGCCTTTAGCAAAAAAGGTCGACTATTTGTGTAAAGAGGTCGACCTAAATGGGTCGAATTAGCTTATTATGTACTTCTCATTGTCCAATTAGGATTTTGCGTACTTGTCCTTGTCGAATTGTGATTTTATGTATCCTTGACCAATTGGGATAAGTGTTCCCCATACTAGTAAGGATAAGGAATTCGTCTACATTCTCTATAAATAGATGGAAGTCTTAAGACTTTATTCATACTTCGATTTATGCAATTTGTTGGAGTGAAGTTGTAATCTCATCGCTCTTATCGTAATTGTGTTGGTGGCGGTTTATTCTTACTCCGGTTGACGTTATAACTAAGTGGCCGACCTTGTTTGCTAAGGTATGCTTGATGTGTCGTGTGTGCTGGTTCAAGGTTCTTTGTGGTTCACTTTTTTCCTAAATAGGTCGACCACCTCAACCTTACAATCGACCTCAACTGTGTAATTATGTGATAAGGTCGACTATACAGTTGATCCAGGCCGACCACAGCTGTGTAATTTTGTGATAAGGTCGACCATACAGTTTATCCAGGTCGACCCGACGAGACCTAATTTTGATTTTATTTAACATACAATTCGCATTCCGATCATTGCAGGATGGATAATAGAGATGATACAGATGATAGAGATGTTGACGAGATTAACTTCAATGAGGAACCTAAGGATGCTCGAGGAACACCTAGGGATAATGCAGATGATGTAAATGATGAAGTGATTGGGGACGATAAGGAAATTGAGGGTGATGAAGAAGAATTTATGGATGATGAAGAAGCTACTCAATATGAACAAAAAATTCCTTCCATGGAGTTCCAAACATTAGAAGATGCAGAGAAATTTTATGCTGCATGTGCTAAAGTGAAAGGGCCTAGCGTTCGACGTAGAGATCTTGGAGGAATCATCGAGGAGCACTAATTAGGAGGACAATGGTATGTTCAAGAGAGGGAATTAGACAGAAGATGTATATAGATAAAGAAGGTCGGACACGGCAACATCATAAGATGACAATACATTCTTGCAAGGCATCGCATACTTTACGCTTTGATTGGACTAAGAAAATGTGGGTTGTTTCTAAGTTCGAGAGGAAGCACTCACATCGTTGCTGCAATGAAGAAGAAACTTAATTCCTTTGATCTCATCGAAATGTGAGTGAAGGAGACAGGGCTTTGGCGATAGGCATGCGACAGTCAGGAATTAAACAACGCCACA